AAAATGATTGGAAATAACAATGATGAAAATAGCTGATTTAATAAGTGATTCATCGAATGTAACAAACATGGATCACAAATCCATCATCGATGTCAACCTTAAAACATACAACATCTATTGAGAACAAGACTTTTAAATGCTATTTTAGTACATTTTTTTTCATACTTCAGTCTGTTTTGTTTTTCTACAGAAACGAATCGAAATATGAATTCATAAAGAAATCTTTTCAATGGTTGCATATTGTTTGAATCATGAAGTTCGAATTTCTTAGAAACATTTGTTGATTATTTCAAAATATTATTGACGAATCTCATAAATTTTTTGAGTACATTCAAATTCTGATCAAGATAGATTCACTATTTTTCGAAAATTTATCTAATAGTTCGATACTTCGAATTGTGAAACTTGTTTTATTCAATGCACTGTTTAACAAACAAAGATTTTCAAAACTGAATATAGCCATAACAGAAGTACACAATATTTTTTTTTTGATAAAATCGAAGATAAATTTCAATACGAATCACTTATTCCTTTCTTCATACATTTATGATGTTTCATGTTCCATAGCTCAATAAAGAAGAGTATCTGTTCTGCTACTCTTAATAATTGTTTCTTTTTCTTTTACTAACAATAGAGGTACAACGACTAAGAGCATAGAAAATATATGAAATTTGCTCCAAGAATAGCAATTAATTCGAAATCCTAGTGTAACATCACATTGGTTTAACGATGGAAAAGTAGTTCAATTAAAGTTGCAATATGAAAAGTTGAGAGAGTATGACGATCTCTCTGCTAATAGTTTAAATAAAGGTAGACTTTGACAGAGAAGATAACATGACAAAAACTTGTTGATTGATTGACTGATCTTATGCTACTGTACAACGAGAATGATCAGTGATTGTTTCCTGATTAGATAGAACTAGCTATATACGTTGACCTCTTTTGATAATGACGGAAAATCACCAATAATAAAATCGTTTTGAGATATTGTTTGTTTAGACAGTGATCTCGGTGTATATAATGACCTTTAAAACAAGGAAATATGCTACGAGTGACATCAGGTCAAAACAATATTCAGTTTCTTATGTCGTCGCCGTTTCTGCGAAAAAAAGGCTGGTATATGTATTGAGGACACGAATGGATTGGATGTCTCGCTTGCTTTTTATCCGTTCTTTCTTTCACTTTTATTTTGAAAAAAGAAAAGACATCATCAAGCATTGACAATACACACAGAATTTCATAGAAATGGTGTCGTTGGATTTCATTTCTAGAGAAAAAACTGAACTAATGGCTTTGATTGTGAGCACAATAAGTTTTTGTATAGTTTTATTCTCCATTGTTCACTCGACAACAAGAGAATACTCGGCACATCATCAGTATGAACTTGATATGAAAAAGTTCTCTATGAGAACAATCTGTCACATCGATCAAATTATCTCGCATCCTCAACAAGATCAAAGGTCCTCATTGATCGTTATCAACAGTTCGTTTCTCGTTTCTTTTGAACTCAGCTTCAATGGAAACATCACCAAGCAACAATTTGAAGAATACTCAGTACCTGTACCATTCAAACCGAATGTGGTGAGTATAGATGTGAAAAGTACCATCGATTTCAGTTTAATCTAAGGTTTCTCTTCTCTCTTTTTAGATAAACAGCACCTATTCATGTTTTATTGATCCAACCGATATTCAACGACAACCACTAAAATACAAGCCGGATATTATTTCTGCTCGCAATCGTTTTATCTGGCATAAGTTAGTTCCCATGTTGTGTCTCATATCATTATTCATTGTGATGGCCATTTTTTTTATCATTCAATTTTGTCGATGGATTTTTACATTACGACCATGTGGCTTGTTTCGTGTGCGAACATATCCTACTATTGAGACATAATTAACTAATTAGTTTTCTGATTATTCAATGTTTCTTTTTTTGTGAATGTCACTTGTCCTTTCAATACACACACACACACACTCAATTGCCATTACTTAATTATCATTTGAGTTGTGAGCAATATCGCTCTCTTCCTAATCCCTTTAAAATAGCATATGTATAAAGCAATGAAATATCATCACTAATTTGAAAACGATTTAGTATGAGCTGAAATCATATCAGCAATCTACAAACCATAGCAGATAGTAATATGTTCCTGCAATAGCACATCAAAACTCAGATTAATATTTATGAAAATGAGTAAAATTATTCTTTTTGAGCATGCCATAGTCGAACATCTTGTAAGCAAGATCTTATTAAGATCTTGAAAAGATAGTTTGTATGTACATATCTTGATTGTATCAGATAAATCTGCACCTAAGATCTTCGCAAGATCATGGAAAAGATATCGTTTACTATTATCTTCTCACAAGATCTTGAGTAAAACAAAAAGCGACATCATTAATGTATTTACATGCTGACTAGTTGTTCACCGTTTTTTTATGCATACACAGCTGTATATAAACAACATGATTCAACATACAAGACATAAATTTTCAGAATAATTTTTTTTCTAAACTATTTCTCGACTATTGACTATTCGAGGACATGCTGACCTCGATCGATGATCGAGAGAGGACTACCCTGAAGTGGTCTGACGGCTATCGGACCAACTCAAAGTCAGTCAGATCCTAATATCTGACTTGCTTGAGTTATTCGGGACAGAAATAATTAAAATGAAAATAAATTGAAAAAATATCATAACATTCTTTTTCAGAAAAAAATAAAAAATGCGCTGTATGGTAGATTCGAAACACGCTTCCAGAATCTGTCATACATGGTGTCGCAAATCACAACACATACAACATGTTTTATCTTAGTATGTATCCAAGATCTTATAGATCTGTACCTAAGATCTTGCACATCTGTACCCAAGATCTGTAATCAGATCTTGGTACAAGATAATCTTATTATCTTGTACGTAGATTTTCCAGATCTCTTCACTTATCTGTACCCAAGATCTTGCTTACAAGATGTTCGACTAGGGAGTCATTCGACGACCCAAATTCATCTCTAGCAAGCGCAATTAGTTTTATTTTTTCTAATATCATCTCAATAAAGTGATTGATGAGATGATCTTGTTTCTATATCGAACGTAATAATCTTTTAAGAAACCGTTTTTGATATTGTTTCGTAGAATTTTTTCTGAATACAATCTGTTGGGAGAGTATTCATTGCTCAAAAGAAAAAATCTCGAAAGCTGGTTAACTAACCAATAATACAGCATTACTGTTGAATTTCATTTTTCAGTGAAACTGTCTCAACGAGCGTTACTGAGAATATAAATGGGTGTAGGCGTTCATCAGAAGACTATTCACACTCCACCAATACTCCGGGTCTATTTCATTTTTCACTGAAAGATCGTTTAGAAAACTGAAGGACCAAACTGGATTATCGACAGATCGTTATTTCCATGTCACTATCGACAAGATTTTCTAAACGGGAAACAGGAAGTTGTGAGTTGAATTCAGCTTAAGTGAGTTATGCGAGTTACAAAGAGTCAAGGTGATTTATCTTATCTAATTTTGAGCTTAAGCTGAGTTAAGTCAGTCAGTTCTTTCTGTAACACGAGCGTCAATAGGAGAAGGATCGGATGATGTATATCTCTTTCCTATATTTGAAATCACCTATGAAATATCTCCCAGTTTTGGAACTGGCTCTCTTAATGATAGTAAAGCTGAAACTATATCCATATAACACCTGTCTTGTTTTAAGTGCCGAGTTATCAGTTGGAACAAATGTCATCAGGAACGAAAGCTTTCTTCAAGGGAATAAATGAATCTCATAGATGTTTATTAAATCTTTTTTCTAGAAACTTTCTTTTAATTAAAGAATCATAACAAAAGACATATAAGTTCAATGATGAGTGAATTCGAGAGCAAAAATATTCATTGGAACCAAAAATGTTTCACAAAAAAGTCTGTTTAAAATGAATGTACGATGAATCAAGCAGAGTATAAGCTACCAACTAAATATCTATATCGGCTATCATTAATTGATATAACTCTTTAGTTAAAACTTCTTTTCTTCGTTTTAACGTTTGTAAGTGAGCAGTAACTTGCTCATTTAGCAAATTAGATACACAGATTTGCTCAATTAAATATTGTAATCTTATGATTTCAAACGCTTTATCCTGTTTCTAAATATAGAAAAAGTAAACAACATTGTAGGAACATAAGAAAGCAATGAATCGAAATCATACATCACTGAATGTTAGAGCCCTGTTTTTATAAAAAAAATACACGGTGGAAAATATTGGGGGCAGATGAATGAATGACAAGAATATGGACCTAATTATAGTGATCATGATAATTATTAGCCGATTATTTCTACGTGAAAATAAGTGAACAAGAGGTCAGTTAAATGACCAATAGCTAATGAAGGGAAGGAATGAAAGAATGGTATCGATACGTTCATATTTTTCTCTATTTCATCGTAAAGCACCACAACATATTAGAGTAATTAAAAATGAGTAACGAAGGTAATTGCCGTGCTAGCAAAAGTTCACAACATTCATTCCAATAAGACGTTATTTTTTTAAATTTTAGCTTGACTATGGTTTTTTTAGTAATCTTAAAAACATTCATAAAGATTGTACTATTTTTAATTCGAGAGAAAAAGTCTATTATATTTCATTTGAAAAAAATTTGATTTGAGTATTTTTTTGTTTTTGATTTAATTTATTTTAAATGATACATAAAAAACTAATATGGAATTTACAATATAAAAAAAGTCTTCTGTTAAATATATCAATAAGGACTATCTGGTAAAATAATTTTGTTTTCAAAAAATAAAAGAGCAGTAATAGATAATTATGTGTTTTTTCAAATCTTTATTTATCCCGGTATTCTTGCTTTTGCTGTTTATTTTTATGCATGACTTAAGCAATGCTACATATGTTACATATTATATGAATACTATAACGAAATTATTTTATATCGTCATTTTCAATATTTTCTTTTCTTATTTCTAGTTATGCAATTATGGAAAGATCAAACACATCTCAATGAAACTAGAAACACAACAAAATTTGTCTATTGATCATTCACGTTTTATTTTTACGGCGAACAAAGAAATTATTCGTGAACTTGTTATGTTTCCTATGCCACCATGGCATTTATCCAATCAAGATTTAATTCAATTGCCTTTGTTTCTGGCTACCGCAATTTTTACAAGTAAATTATTAGATCGTCAATCACAACAAAAACTATTACTGGAACAACAAATATGGCCAGTAGAAGCTATTGCAATTAATATTCGTCAATGGGAGACTGCTGGATTTTATGATAAACGATTTGTTGATTGTAATGCATATACAAACAAAAGAACATAAGCAACCATTAGAAAAGGGTGTGGGTTTTTTGTTTATGTTTTTCTTTTGGTTGTCTTATCTGATGATGACCACTTGGTTGGTCGAAAGCTCATATGAAAATAAATAAAATTAAGAACACCTGAAATACTAGCTGCATTTATTCTACATTATTTACATACGTATTTACATATGCCCATAAACAGAAGATTGTCATTGAGCTTAAAAACGATATTGTTAAATCTCGAAGATGTTCCAGGAATACTTCGCATATAGTCTATTGTACCACGACCGATAATAATACTCACAGCAACTAGGAAAACCAAATGTAACCTTACTTTTTGATCCAGGAAAACCATAATCCGACAACAAAATACAATGCCTAACAAAGAGACGACCACATTTATACGTCTTCCAGATAATCATTACCGGACGAGTATTGAGCAAAACATGTTGCATATATCCGTACGAGGCAAAAAGTATTATTTCTAGTATTAAAGCTCCAATAGGAACATTAATAAATCATCGCATAAAAGCGCTTTGTACCGGTTCGAGTACAATCGTCATTATAATAGCGACTTCCAAAATAGTCTGAACAATATTTTCTTCGAAAAACATGTGAGTTCTACAAAAGCGAAATGATTATCCTGTAAAATTTCTCTAGGACTCTTAGAGTGATCAATGTTAAGTAATCACTCTAGTAAATTCTAGCAAAATAGAGATGTAGCTCTTGTTTTTATGCACAATATACCTGGTTTGCTTGATGAGGCGTTTGAATAAATACGGTTTAGACGGTAGCAGATCGTAAGCACAACATTAACATTTTTTTTTCTTCTTTCTTTCTACATTCCATAAGCCTCAACCAAATACGCATGCCAGTTTTTTCCTTTCCATTTCATCCTTTCGCGAGTCACTTACTGTACTTTTCTGCGCAAGTAAAGAGAAACAACGGAGACATTCGGTTAAATGTATCTCCCCATATACAACTGAAGCATGCATATAAATCTTATTCATGAGTCACCTTCTTTTCCAAAGATACAGTAACTCATTCTTGAAGTAAACGAAAGCAAGAAAAGATGGTATGTATACTAAATGACTAGTAATCGATCGAAAGAAGTAACTAAATAATGACGCTATATTATTTTTGTCACGTTTTCGAAACAAATGAAGTATCTGATGTTATCGTTGTCTCGTTTTTGTTTGTCCATTGAAACATTTTCAATACTAACATGAATTTATGCTTCTAGAACATTTCGTAGAAAACTTTTTGCATTCAAAATCAGATTTATTTAAGTCGAAGTCATATATAATATATAGTTAATTACACATTTCCAAAAATGATCTATGTCTTTTAATTCTTCAAGAAGGGATTTCTTAGAGAAATGAAGGACCATCATCTCGCTCAACTATGTCATAAGTCGATGTTTATAATTACTAACAGATAGAGAGAAAATAGAGACAAGATCATCAACCAAATTTAACCGAATGTGATTGATTGAAGGATTGAGAACTATGTTCAAATTTCTCTGGAGTTTTTCAATCGCTGTTTCATTTCTGCAATATTTATTTTGTGAAGCATAGACATTTTCTTAAAACGTGAGGCATGATTCAAAATCTTTTTTCTGATTAAACAGAATGTGACATGACACCACAAGAAGTACTGTAGTCATATTTTGATTAGATCGATTGTTTCACATAGTGAAATAACAAAAGACATGGAGAAATACACAATCATATAAAACGATGATATGCAACATTGACAACTTGAATTTTCTTATCATTAATTTAGTTCGATCAAGTAAAAGCATTGATGAACTGCAACAATTGTATATGATTGACGTCAAAAATTTGCTTTCAAAAGTAGATATAAGCTCGAACATGTGTCTATTAGCATAGAGATAAACAGAAAAATGGTCAGAACAAAGTTTGTTTTTGGGAAAGTTCTGAAGATGTTTGATAGGGAAATGCTAAGATGAATCTAATTTTTCATATTGAATAAAGGGTGTCCCATAAGTTCTGGGCCTCGACGAAAATTAGTTTTTATATAAATAAAGAGTGACCAATACCTAACTATATTTATATGAGCTTCGAGCCTTGACGACGCTCTTTAGAATGGCATATTATGAGATGACATTTCGTCAGCTCATAATGGTGATACAAGCATGAGAATGTTGATGATCAAAACGTTCGGATCGACCAGTGTGTTTTCAATGATCGAAAATAAGATATAGTTGATTTGCTAGAAGTTCGTATTAATGTGAAATCAAA